AGGGCCAGGAGGGTCCCGTCATCAGCACTGTCGACCTTGTCGGCCTCCGTCCTCCAACGCTCTAGGAAGTCCCGAAGGGTCTCATCCTTCTTCTGGCGTATTGTTAGGAGGTGGGAGAAGTGCTTCCTTGTGCGACGCCTCCCGGCGAATTGTGTCAAGAATCGTTGGGCGAGTTCTTGCCACGAATCAATGCAGCCCTCGGGCAGCCTGTTGAACCATTCGTATGCCGGTCCCTCTAAGGTGGAGAGGAACCATCGACACAAATATTCGTCTGATGCCCCCACCATCATCATGCTGTTCTGGTATTTGCTGTAGTGTTCCTGGGGGTCCGTTTTTCCGTTGTAGGGATGTATGTGTTGCCCTCGGTATTTTTCCGGGATCCGGGCCGCCAATACCCTTGGGGTAAATGGCGTCCGAGTCCGGAGCTGGATGACGGGTTCCCCGGAGCCCTCGGCCACCCTCTTCTGTAACTCCTCCATTTTGGCCATCATGGCCTCGTATTTGAGATCTGAATGAGGGGTGGAGGTGGTGGCGTGAGCTTTGTTGGACTCCATCTCGTCAAGCCGGCGTTGGAGGGCCGCAATGATCTCGTCCCGGGGATCCTTCGAGAGGGTCTCCGCCCCCTGCGAATGAACCCGGGCCGAGTGGGCCTGGTTGATTTGGTGTCGAGCGTCCTCGGCATGAAGGGGTGCCTTGCCTTTGTCCCGAGGGGGGCGCTCCTCTTCTGCCCTCGAAACAGATCCCCCGCTTTCCTGGGGCCTTTGGAGTGCTTTCCCCCCGAGGCGGTCTTGGACCCCTCGGCGGTCTGGCCCTCCTCCGAGCCGGTTGAGGGCGGAAGTACGGGGCCTTCCCCTGTTGTCATTATGGTGGTCCCGGGACTGAACTTCCTGGGAGGACGTTTCTTGGGCCACCACCCCTTCGTCGTTTCTCACATGAGGGGTGGGATTTCCGAAGGGGTGTGGCAGAGGGGGAAGTATGATATTTTCCCCGATCTGAGGGTGAGCTGGAGCCAGGGTGCCGAAGGCACCCGGGTTCTGGGTGAGCGTCTGGATGAAGGCGGAGAGCGCCGATTGCACGTCGATGGTGAGAACCGGAGGGCTGACTTGGTCATCGCTCCGGTTTTTCTTCTTGGCCTCGATGCCGAGGCGGGCATCGGGGGCATTTTGTTGGATCTGAAGGCGTAGGTCGACAGCCGCCTGTTCCAGCCCAGCGATGACACCGCCCTCGGGAGCCCTGTGAGAGGCTTCGGGGGCGTTGACGTCGTCGAGGGCCAGGTTCTTGTCTTCTACGTTCTTTGAGTTGGCACGTGTTGTCCTCACCATTTTGATAGAGGGCTAGTGTTTTGTGTTTGGTCGAGGGGGAGGGTTTCTTACTCGATTGTTCAACCTCTCAACGAGAGCACCAAATGATGGATAGTCTACCCGAGGGTATATATCCGAAGGGTTATTGCGTAGAATAACTAGAGAGAAGTCAGAGCAAATAAGTAAGAGAGAGAGTGTATATTCGATATGTATTAAGCGTGGTTACAAATGAAGAAATGGGGTGCTATTTATAGTAGCAATAAATGACGGGCAGGGACACGTGTCAAGCGCTCATTGGCCGAGGGGTCACCTCAACTGGTTGGCGCTGACAGCCGCATGTGGCCGCATTTAATGCGGCTGTTGGATGGGACGTCTATGGTGATCTGTACGCATGTGAGGCGGATACCTTGTCGAGCGAGATGCCTTCGGCTATAGAGCAGTAGCCGAGGGCTCTTCCACCCGATGGCACCCTGGTGCCGAGGGCTCACAATGCCGAGGGCTACTGTTTTCGCCGTTTTCTCCCAGTTTCTTAATTTGCTTGAGAAACCCGTTCTGTGAGAATTCGGAGCCTTCGGCCAGGGGGCCGAAGGCACCCCTGGCGCGTAGTGTGGACTGCCTGGTACTCTGGGCGCTGTGATTTGGGCCTGTTGGGCCTTTTGGGCCTTCGCTGGAGTAGTAGGAGTCTGTGGGCCGGGGGTTCCCGGGCCATATACTCCATCATATTTATTTCACATGCCACATGTGCACCGTGCACCGTAAACAAACTATTATATGTTTTCCTTGATAGAGCATTTGAGAAACACTTAATTGTGGCTTGTCTTTTAAAATCAGATGGATCGAGGCATTCCACGGAGTAATAGTTGTTCTAATTCCAAAGTATGCTTCTTTTCTTGGTCCTAATTAGGTGTCTTGACATTCCACGAAGTAGTCTACTATTTTCAAATCGTCCATTGATCGAGGCTGAATACGGAACTCTTGCAATTATTATACAAGACACACTACTTATTTGGTCTGTCTTGTTCAAGTTAGTTTCAGTTTTCTTTTCATGTACATGTCACTTTATTTTGTTATAATGACTCGGTTTCATTTCTCTTCGTGAATCAGGTCTAGCATGCATGTAGTAAGCACATTAATATTGACTATTATTTCGTTCGAGCACATGCATGTGATACATGGAGATCTCAAAGTTTGATATGTACTACACAAGTTCAGCTGTGGCAGATAGTCATACTAAGAGTTTGTTTCCACGATGATTTATCTTTCTTTGAGACAATCTGTGATAGTTCATTCATCACAAATTGAAGGGTGTAATAATGACTACGAGACTGATTAAGTTTGAAAAGTACTTTCACTGATTTAAATCATATTAAGACCCATTTCATAATATATTGTGAGAATTACTCGCATTACAAATGTGAACACAAACCTAGTGTTGATACTGTCAAGTTAATTTTGGATAAAAAAAATTGGAGAAAAGGTCAAATAAGTATTTCTACTATTTTGAATTCATCGCATGAACTAGGGGTGGACCGGTTCCGGTTCGGGCCCGGCCACGCCTCGGTTCATGAAAGGGGAGGCCCGGAACCGGCCCGGCTAACCCCCGGGTCCGGTCCGGGCCAGGCCGGGCCGGGCCTCGGTTCATGTAATTTTTTTTTTGGCTTTTCCTAATTAACCCCCAACCCTCCCCCTCACCCCCAAACCACCCCAAACCACCTCAAATGGTCCATCATATCCAGCCCAACCCAAAAACTTAAAAAAATTCAAAAAAACAAAAAGAAAAAATAAATAAATTGGCCAGGACCGGGCCCGAACCAGCCGGGCCGATTCACTATTTAGCAGGCCCGGGCCCGAACTGCCTACCTCACCGGGTCGGGTGGCCCGAACTGGGCACCAACTGGTTCACCGGGCCGGTCTGGGCCCGCACAGTAGCGAGCCGGTCCGAGCTCGCACAGTAGCGGGCCGGTCCGGTTCCGGGCCAGTTGGCCCGGTCCGAGTCCACTCCTAGCATGAACTGTTATAGTAAATGAATTCATCGGAAATGAATTCATCGCATGAACTGTCAAATCAACCAATGACCTGCTATAGGGAGCCTAGTTAGTTACATAGAGTACGAGAATTAAACGAGATTAATATGCACACGTTTTTTCGGTAACGTGAGTAAAAAAATGTTAGAATTTCATTGAAAAAAGTGTTGGTTGTTAAAAACGTGTAAAGGCGTATACGTGTATAATGTGATACGTGTTACGAAAATTGGGATAAAAAATAAATGTCTTTATTTAAACATTTAAATTATATACATCACAAAACATCATATATTAAAAAGAAAATACATTATACACATATTCATTACTACATCATAGCATAATTTGCATTTGCATAAGTCGGTGACAAAACTATAACTAGTAACTAAGTTCAAGACATAGTTTTATAAAATAATGTCAAAAGACAAGACATACTCCCTCCGTCCCTAATTTTTCTCCCTTTTCGGCTGGGCACATTTATTAAGATAGTGGGATTTGTGTGGTGGAGAGTTGTGCAGAGGAGAGAGAAATGTGTAAGAATGTGTAAGAATGGTTGTGAACCACAAATTTTTTGCTAAAAGAGGGAAGAGGAGATAATTTTGGGACGGACGAAAAAGGAAAGTTTGAAGATAATTTAGGAACGGAGGGAGTAGTAATGATAGAATGAGACCAGGTTGACGTCATCATCTTCATGTGATGATCAAATTATACTCAAAGTTAAACTCACTATGCGTTCATTCTATTGATCAAAATATGTTTCTATGGTTTTATTCCTTTTGGTAAAATACGGGGAGTAACAGTTTTATACTTTTATCCTTTTTAAATGGAGGAACCTTATTTTTTTTGTTTTAAGCGCTCTTTTCGAAAAAAAGAGGACATGTTCAAAACGCATTTCAAACGTAAATAGCTAACTACGGCAGGGAGTTGTCATCCGGTACCTTGACATAATTGATGATTTTTTTATAGTGTGTATCTGTGATACGTTTTTTTAGTAGAAGGATTGCAATGATTTATTTGATTTAGCATGAAAGTCTACTTGACCCTTTATCCTAAAAACATTTCAGGATGTACACTTTACAAAAAATAACATGTGCCAACTATTAAGGATGTACTATACAAGTCATTCTTTTTAAACAATTCCATTTTGGCAGTAAAACGTTTCAATATTCTTTTTTTTTTTTGCTTATTAATATTAACTACTTCGTATTAGTTTCCACAAATACATTGGGAAGATAGATCCCTACCAATGGTTCCGGTTCGGGCCCGGTTCGGGCCTAGGCCCGGACGGACCTCGGTTCAAGAAGGGGAGGCCCGGAACCGGCCCGGGTAACCACCGGGGCCGGGCCGGGCCTCGGTTCTTTTTTTTTTTTTGTTGTTGGCTTTTCCTAGTTAACCCCCAACCCTCCCCCTCACCCCCAAACCAACCCTAACCACCTCAAATGGCCCAAAATACCCAGCCCAACCCAAAAACTTAAAAAAAAAATCAAAAAAAAAAATTGGCCCGGCCCGGGCCCTAACCGGCCGAGCCGGTTCACCTTTTGAAGGTCCCGAGCCCGAACCGCCATCCCACCGGGCCCGGAACCAGTTCACCGGCCGGTTCCGCACAGTAGCGGGCCGGTCTGGTTCTGGGCCGGTTGGCCAGGCCCGAGACCAACACTACCTACCATCCCAATTTTTCAACTAACATAAGAAAATGCTCAAACAGTTGAAACAAACAAATGGCGTAAAATTTAAGGTGGGAATTCAAGCAAAACATTAGAAGTGGATTAGTATTACATACAAGGGTACGTATAGTGTGCAAGAAATTACAAGTCTGTTCGGGTAGAAGTGGAAGTGAACTGGACAGCAATATCCTTCAACACTTGGATCAACCCCTTTAAATCGTTGCCTCCCAACTCCAAGCAGTCCTTCAACAAGTCTCCATCTACCAATTCCTTTTGGACAGTCTCCATCACTTCTTTCAATGGACCCTGTTTTTCCAACACCATTTTCAAACACACTAACAGTTTTCAAGTTTTCAAGTTAAAACAAGAACAAACGAAGCTTTTATAGTTCACAATCTTCAGGTTGTTTAGATGCCACACGATGCATGCAAGGTTCAAAAACTTAAGCATAAATAAGTTTTCTGGTTGCAACATAGGAAGTACTACTCCGTAGGATACTCTCAAGAGTATATAACTTTTGATCCCTGACTTTCACTTTTGAAAGAAAGGATCCCCTGCAATTGCTCCACACTGCAGAAATTGCAATAACTCAACCGCAGAATGGGCTGGGTTACTCCAAGAACGGTCCAACTTGATTTGGAACTTTTGAAATTTACTCAAAATCAATCTAAAATTTTAAAACTATCTGGCGGTGAATCCTGTGATATAGTAACTCCAATATGAAGTACTCCATATCTAATAATCTAATAACTATTAAAATAGGAAACATCAATGAAAAATTTACAAATTGAAGAGAAGGTCCGGAGCAGTTTATGCTTGAAAAAAGAACTAATCTGCACCTAATAGAGACAAACATTAAAGCATAAAGAATGGATCCCATTTTAACACACCTTATGTATGGATAGAAAGCATAAATAGCTACCCGCACGGGTAGCTTAGTTGGTCGAGTGGTGGGAGATTTGGATCAATAGACTAAGGTTCGAATCCCCGCAGCGATCGGGTGGAGGTCACAGAACCTGAAATAAGGCTGGGCCTCTGGTGCGCACGTGTGTATGGACGTACTACCATTCTACTGACTGAGTCACCGTGACTAACCTCCCTACCATCCTATTGGGTCGGAATGGGGGCTCCTGGGGTGGGAGATTCCACTTTTTTTTTGTTGGATCAACAAAAGAAAGCATAAATAGCTAATGGAAGTGTAAAAAGGACCAGTAATGGAAGGGACGGAGAACACAGGGAAAATGTAGATAATTACTTGCCCTTGTTTGGGTGAGGATAAATCTTAAATGAACCCAAAGTTTTGAGGAGAAAAATGGTACATTTCAAACCAAATTTATTTCAAGAACATTCCAACTAAAATCACCCCAGTTTAGGGCATCAACAAAAAACCTCATAGTCTAAAAGTATGTGACCATGTCTCCTACCATTCCAGACAGGTTGCTTGGAATTGAATTTCAATTATATTGAGAATGGAGTTCCATTCCAAACTAATTCATTTCATATGTTTGGAAGAAGGCAGCAAGTATAAAAGACTAAGAGAACGTAATGCAATTTCTTGACCAGCAATATATCTAAAAAGGAAAAATGAATGGACTTGTTTAAATTTACTATTTTTCCTTCATCAGCAAAACTTCATGTTTCCACCATGGTAGACTACCAAAATAACATGGATAAAATTTCTGCTTTTATGCTGAAAGTTGTAGTCAAACATCAAAGTATGCAAATAGAAGAAAACAGAACACTAGGGAAGAGGACTTACAGACTGACGAAACACCTTGAGCAGTTTACCAGAAAGATTGGTAGCAACCTTAAAGACATTTCTGTAATTTCGACTCACCCACGCAACCCGACTCTCCACATCAGATCCAACCCGACTAAACTCTCCCAATGCTGTGAGCAACTCGTTCAAGTCCGAGACGGTGCCAAGCATCTCGAACGACATCGCATCTCTCCAAGCGTAGTTTCGAGCGTAGTCCCATCCGAGATTCCACATGAGTTTCCAGAACCCCAGGCCAAGCCCTCGCTCAATGCTTCGGGCAAGGGACCGTGCCCGAGCCGAACCCAGAGCATCGCCGCGGGCGGCGCGGTGGTTGGCAACACGGTCTAGGAGTGAGTGAGAGAGGGAGAGAAGGGTTTGGAAGTTATAAAAGGGAAGAGGAATTGAAGAAGAAGGTGTTGGTTTGCTGAGAACGAGGAAGAAGACGAAGAGAATAGAGCGAGTTAAGGCGGCCATAGATGGAATTGTTTTGAAGTTTAAAACAACAATACTGGAATTGCTGGTACTGGATATAGCCCATTTCGTGCGAGTCCATAGCTGGCAATTCAATTGAAACTGAGAAGCCCATGTAACCCAACAAATCTTCAATGCTACGATGTGTACGTGCACTGTGACATTCGAGATAATTACATAAATATTAATAAATCAATTCTTTATATTCTTATTTGAATGATTTTATTTAATTTTGATAAGTTTTTCTCCACAATGTCAAGAAGACCATCTAGATGTTGACATTGCAGTTGACATTGCAAGAGAAAACTTACCAAAATTGTATAAAATCGTTCAAATAAGAAGAGATAATTTATTTGTTAATATTTATGTGGTTATCTTTCATGCCACATGTGCACCATATACATTATAGCATTGGAGATGCTCTTAGAGTATTAGACTATGTCGACAATATAGCTCCACCTGCTACTTAAGAGATAATTAAAAGTATAAATCGTCTTGAGAACAAAAAAATCAAAGAAAAAGTGTCCCGATATATATAGCTTCTAGAAAGGAACTTGCATAAAAACCCGTAATACATGGCCTCTTTAGCATTTCAGAGGTCTTAGATAGAAAAAAAAACTTAAGGTGCAAAAATCATATTGAAAAGAGAGATTGAATAAAAAATATCATATGAAAAAAAACATATTCAAAATATACTATATAATTGATGGAGTATATTCCCATAATCACCGACATAAGCGACACGGACCCACTCCGGGGCACGCAAAAATACTAAGTCCACAACTGGGACCGACCCCGACCCCGACCCCGACCCACCAGGGTCGGGACCAAGCGCCAGGTAGCAAAATGACTAAGGACCAAAAGATCAGCCGAACTCGCCCCCCCCCCCCCCCCCCCCCCGAGGTCGAGAAAATACCAAGCTCATGAATTACTCAAACTCGACAAGTTATGAGCCCGACCTCGAATGCACCGAGCTCGGCACCCACTCTGACCTCGGGCGTCAATATAAGGTCAATACAGGGTCAATCAGGATCAACACAAAGCATTCAACGATCTCGAAGATGGAACCAAAGACAGAAGGTGAATTCCCCAACGATGAGCCCGAGTCTCCGAATACTAATCTTAGTGAGATCAGGGTCTGATCAAAGTACTATATGGACTTAGACAAATACGCAAAGACAAACACCACAGAAGGATGTTGCCACGTTATTCCTACAAGTGGGCAACATTCCGGATTGCACACGCGAAACCACACAAGTATTCTGGTAGCAGTTTGTTAGAGGCAGTTCAATCAGCCAGTTGTCCCAGACTATCTCTCCAATCACCTTTACACGGGGTTGCTCCACATCGACTTAGACCGTTAGTTTGTTAGAATAGATTGGACATGTGTCTTCTCCCTATTAGTTCAGCATCTTTTTACTCGGGCACCAAGTATTACCTTTTTAGTATAAATATCATCTTCTAGTTTGTGGAAAGGGATGACATTTTGTATTCTGTTGTTGTTACTCTGCTAAAATATACACCTGAACTTTCTGATCAGCTCTTCTCTCTTATTTTACTTGGATTCCGACTACCCCTAGTTCGACGATCCATCAATAACATTTTCAATATTCGTAAGGATAAGTTTTTAAATGCAATGATGCAAACATGCATATGCAAAATTTAAAATAAAGAAGACCCTAATGACATTATCTATAGATAATACAAAGTAATAACAATGACAAACAAATTAACTAATAGAAAACCTAAAAATTCTAATCTTATAAATACAATAAAAAATTAAACAAAATAACTACGTTTTCAATTTTATTATCTCATACACTTTCTCATATCGCAAAATACACTAATACCCTTTATCCAAGTCCCAATTACTTTCTCATATCCCAAATACCACATACCACATGATGCAATAACATTCTTAATAATAACAACAATTATATCCTATTGCAAAAAAAATCTGTATTTTTGAGCATTAATTATATCCTGTTGAGATTAAATCCTCGCAGTCCAATATCCATGCCAATACGTTCCTTCGGCTTTTGTAGGATCTTTCTTTTGGGGATTATGTATAGTTTAGTGATTGGATTTAGCAATTAAGAAGACAAGCAATAGCAAGAAGAAGGTGAAGGTAAAGTGAACCAAGTTCTATTAATAGCTTAGAACAATTACACTACGTACATACCTAGTCTGAGCCCCAAATCCTTAGTTTCACACCGAAAGTTTATAAAAGAATCTAGAGAGGAAACCTAAAATATTGAGTGCAAATTGACAATCCTTTACAATAAAATAAATGCAAGTATATTTGTATTTCAAGGTAGTATGTGGTAGTAGTGATGTAGCGAGCCATAGGTGGCTAACCTCTAATTCTCTCGGGGGAGCAAGTTGGCTGCCCTGCCCATGCCGTCCGAGTCCGGGTCTTCTTTCCAGGGTGTTCGGCCCGCTGGCCGACTCCGTGCATACCTTATGTCTTTTTGCAATGTTTTTTCCCTTTGGGAAAGTGTATATTATCATTTTAATTTGAATAATGTGATTGATGGATAGTCTACCCGGGGGGTATATATCCGAGGGGTTATTGCTGAGAATAACTTAGAGAGAAGTCAGAGCACAAATAAGTAAGAGAGAGAGAGTGTATTCAGTATGAATGTCGTGATCTACAACGGGGAAAAGGGGGGTGCTATTTATAGTAGCAATAAATGCCGGACAGGGACACGTGTCAAGCATCCATTGGCCGAGAGGTCACCTCATCCGGTTGGCGCTGGCAAACGCATGTGGCCGCATTTAATGCGGCTGTTGGATGGGACGTTGTACAGGGTACGGTGATCTGTACGCATGTGAGGCGGGCATCATGTCGGGAGAGGTGCCCTCGGCTGCAGAGGACTAGCCGAGGGCTCTTGGTGCCGAGGACCCCTGAATGCCGAGGGCTCCAGATGCCGAGGGCTACTGTTTTCTGCCGTTTTTCTCCCAGTTTCTTAGTTTGCTTGGAAAACCCGTTCTGTGAGAATTTAGAGCCTTCGGCCGGGGGGCCGAAGGCACCCTTGGTGCGCTTTGCGGGCTGCTTGGTACTCTGGGCACTGTGATTTGGGCCTGTTGGGCCTTTTGGGCCTGTTGGGCTTTCACTGGAGTAGTAGGAGTCTGTGGGCCGGGTGTTCCCGGGCCATATACTCCATCAGGAGTCCCTCACTCCTTTTGCCGAAAGGTACTTGAGGGAAAAGGAGTAATTTGTGTCTTTTGAGGTTGGTTTGTTGCTTGCATGTCCCTGCCGAAGGCAGTCCCTCAGTTACCCACATGTCGGAACTTGAGGGCTTGCTTTGCCGTTTGTTGGAATTTTTCACCAATTTTGTGATTTAATGATTTTCCCGAGGGGGTCCTCCAGTCCCCCACTCCTTGAGGCACTTGTAAAGTGGTGAAAAGGAGCAGAGTAGTTGCGTTGCTGTTGTGGGCCGAAGGCTGACGCTTTTCGTTTCATTTTGGGGGGATGCCTCGTTAAAAACCTCATTAGGAAAAACCCTGTGGGAAAAATCCTAATGAGGGAAAAAGAGTGCACCGAATTCCCCCAAGGATGAATCAAAAAGGTTAAAGCCTTGGTTTGGAATGAAGCGAAATGTTGATGCCGAAGGCTCTCATAGTCTGAGGGCATGTTTGTTGTATTGCCGAAGGCACGCTGTTGATGTCCTGGGAGGTACCGGGGGGGCCCTCGATCTGGGGATCGAGGGCCCAGATCGAGGGCGTGATGAATGAGGGCAGTAGTTGAGTTGTCGCCGGGGGGTCCCTTGCTTGTTGATTAGTTGGTGATGGGGGTATCCGGGGGCTCCCATTGCCTGCGTGCTGTAGGCTATCTGTCAATGAAGCGTACTCCCCGGGGGCTATTCGGCCCTTATAGTGCTGAGGAGGAATCCCCGAGGGGTGGCTTGATATGAAGCCTTGGGCTTCTGAAGGAGTGATGCCGAAGGCGTCTGTTATGTACTGTGTGGGGCACAAACCGGGGGCGCCTCTGGGGTAAGTGTACCCGGAGGCTCTCCTTGGTGAAGTGGAGTGAAGTAAAAAAAGTCCGGGGGCTCCCAGAATATAGCCGTTGGAAATATAGCCGTTGGAATACGTAACGTCAGGATACAGCCGTTGGGGGGGTACACGTGGCGCGTGATGGTTGGCTGTCCGTGGGCGGCGTCACCGATTGGGCGATACCGCGGTTTGTAATGATGGCGATCCAACCGGAGGCCCGGTTTCCAGGCCCAAGCCCGGATCCCAGCGCCTATAAATACCCCAAGGCCAGGTCACTCTCCGCTGTGCGATCTCAGTGTAGCGAAGCTCTGGCAAAATTTTTCTATAGAGAGAAACTTGCCCTCGGTTGAATCCTCAGTTCTTAAGGTCAGTTCCCCCCTGCTCTTCTCCTTCTAGTTAGCTGTGCCTTGTGCCCTTAGGCTAGGAGATAGAATTTTTCTAGGAAACCTTAGTTCTCCCGAGCCTTCGAATTAGTGAGCAGATGTCATCACAGAGCGACTCCCAGGATATCTCGGGGGAGCCTTCGGTCGAGATGGAGACATGCTCAGATGTGGAGTCCTCGAGCATGGAGTCCTCGGCGGGTGGTGATGCCGCAGTGGCCATGGAAGTGGAGAAGGACCTCCAGGCCGAAGTCGAAGCCGAGGGCTTCGAGCAAGAAAACGAGGACGAAGAGCTCGCCCTTGCCGTGCAAACCGCCGAGCAAGAAGAGGAGAGGGAGAGGATGAAGGTGACGGTTGCCATTCCTCCCCCCCGGGGTGCCGGGAAAGCCAGCTCCTCCCGGCCATTGGACCCGACGCCCATCAGTGTGGCTCCCGGGAAGAAAAAGAAGATGAAGGCGGCCCCGAGGAAGAAGCAAGCGGCAGTTGATGCCGGGCGACCGGTGGGTATACCCGAAGGCCATTCGTTTCTGAACACTGCCGCTCTAGAGCTGAAGACGAGGGCGTCCCCGGCAGAATACCAAGCCACTCAGATGCTGGTTGGCCCTTCGGCGCGTGTGGTGGAGCCCAGGGCGGATGACTTGTTG